GCACGCAGGCACAGGGACAGTGCACATGGAGCATCCTGCGGGATGCGCGGGCACATGGAGCATCCCGTGGGAGCGTGTGGGCACAGGGACAGTGCACATGGAGCATCCCACAGGATGCATGGGCACACGGAGCGCCTCATGGGAGCACGCGGGCACAGGGACAGTGCACATGGAGCATCCTGCGGGATGCATGGGCACATGGAGCATCCCATGGGAGCGTGTGGGCACAGGGACAGTGCACATGGAGCATCCTGCAGGATGCATGGGCACATGGAGCATCCCATGGGAGCGTGTGGGCACAGGGACAGTGCACAGGGACCATGCGCCCACGGCACCAAGCAGTCCTGCAGCACCACCCCACTCCCCCCACCATGAAGAACCCGGTCTGGCTTCTCTGCCTGCAGTTTGCTCTGAATTCCCTGCGTGAGGCTCTCGGGAGGCTGCTGAGATCAAATAATTAGACTTCTCGGCGATAAAGAGGTGACATTGTTATTCAAATGTATTCCAAACTCATTTACCACCAAACAATTCTCGCTGCCGCGCTCACGTCCGGCTGAACTGGCTGGAAGGGGCTGCCCGACGCGCAGAGCGTCTCCTGGCCGCGAGTAACTTTATCTGCTGGAGCTGCTGGAGTTGCTGGAGCTGCTGGAGCAGCGCGCCCGGCCACGCAAACACACACGGAGATGCAGGAAAAGCCACGGAGGCAACGGAGCGATTCGGAAGCAGAACCACGAGCCACAGCGAGCGCGGAGCTGGCGGCAGCGCGCGCGATTCTGGGGCGATTCTGCCCCAAAGCTGCGGCCGCTCAGCCAGCCCCTTCTGCTCTTCCCAGCCTAGAAAATCTCCTGCTTTGTGTTTTTCCAATAAAACTTAGTTTGCCGAGTGCAGGAAGGTGATTTCGAAACAAAATCCGAGACAGACATAACAAGCCCCAGACGAGGCAGTCACACAAAGGAGGATAATTATCCACGGGATTTGTTTTCTATGTCTTTATACAAAATAATCGACGCTATTTTTTCCGCCCCGTCTCCAGTCCAGGCTGCGTCCCTTTTGGGTGAGATTTGCCAGCCGTGCAGACAGCCGCTGCCCTGACCCCTTCCCTTGCAAGCACAGTTCAGAAAGGGCTACAAGGAGGAAAATCCGATAAACGGCGCGCGAGGCTCTGCCGAAGCCTAGCGGGAGCCGGCGCTGCGGCACCTGCCGGGGTGTGCGGCAGCCAGTCCTCGGAATTCCCGTATTTTCAGATATTTAACAGATTGCACGATAATTAAACAGCTGTGGAATTAGCAAAGGTACAAACCCCTACTTAATAAATAAATAAATAAATCCAGCAAGGAGGCACAGGTTTCTCTAAACACGTATGTGTGGGGATCATGCTCTTATGTGGAGATGAAATATTGCTGCTCTACTTGGGGGACAAGCAGCGCTTTTGGCTCTTTCTTCCCTATTCTAGACACCTCCCTTGGAGAAGTAAAACCACGTTTCTGTTAATGGTTTCACAGGAAGTAAAAGGATAGCTTAGGAAAGTTACCCGTCGTCTGCCAGGTTTGGGTTTCCGTTCGGGACCGGCCTCGTGCCCGTGCTCTGCAGCTCGGGCTCAGCCCGCGCTGGCCCCGTTCTGCTCGGGAAGCTGCGGCCGCGCGGGACCCGCGTCCTCCTCCTGCTGCCTCTCCCCACGGGGCTGCAGCAGCGGCACGAACAGGACCCGTTTTTCACTGGAAGGTGCTTGTGGATCTCCTGAGGTTGCGCTAATTGCTCTGGGTTAGGGTTTGTTCCCTGCAAGCAAGAAGTAAACCCGTCCTTGCTGCTTTTCCCGGGCAAGCAGCAAATCCCTGGGAACGCGTTCCCCAGCAAGGCGCAGGGAATATAACAGCACAAGACTTGCTTTACATGACGTGCTAAACACAAGCATCTTTTTGAATTACTGAAAGAAAAATCATAGGCTCCTTCCCAATCCATTTTCTGTGCAATTACTTTATGTAACATTATTAAAAATTAATTTCCCCCCCGAACCTCAGCGGTCTCATGAAGCAGCCTGGGCTCCGGCTGCCGCGGCGCCGCCCC